TCTTCCCTTCTCCCCACAAAGTTCCTGGAACATTTCTCTCTCCCCACTCCCATCACCACTACCAAGGTCAGACCGTCTTCAAATTCCTCTTCTCTTTTATGAAACATTTGACTTTAGACCCCTTGGTCTTCTACTGTTCCCCAAAAGGGAAATAAACAGCCAAATCTGAACAACTGCATCACTCTCTCTCTCTCTCTCTCTCTCTCTCTCTCTCTCTCTCTCTCTCTCTCTCTCTCTCTCAGACACACACACACAAAATCTTTTGGATGGTGTGTGACTTCCTCAATCTTGGGTCCTCTATTAAAAGGCCTGGGATTTTGAGGCTTCTGCGCAGTATCTTAACTGTTCCTAGCACTGTGCTCTTCTGGACAAAGAGCTCTGATGTCGGTCCTGGGATCAGTTGGAGCCACTCTCCCCATTTAGGAGTCACGGCCCCAAGTGCTTTTACCATCAGTGGGACCACTTTGGTTTTGGCTTTTCACATCTCCTCTAGTTCCTCCTTCAGGCCTGGTACTTCTCAGACTTCCCGGACTTCTTCCTGGTGTTGTTGTTACTTGGCACCACTACATCTATCACTACTGCTCTCTTCTGGTCTTTGTCTATTAATTTGTCTACTACTACGGTGCCTGGTTGATTATCTAGTACACGCCTGTCCATCTGGATTTGGAACTCCCACAGATTCTTAGCCCTGTTATTCTCTTTCATGGCTGGCTGGGGGAATTTGGGGAGTTACAGTCTACACATCTTTCAGCTGCCAAGGTTGAGAGACACTGGCCTATCCCTTGGGGAAATCCCTGCTTCTATGGATCTGGTGCTTAGTGCCTGTTCTTGTGCTGCTATGATCAGTGCTGCCTTTTACACACACACACACACACACACACACACACACACACACACACACATATACACAGCACTCAGTGCTTTGGAGTTGTACTGTATGTGTGTCTGTGTGTGTATTAATTTTACCATTGCCCACAGAATACATGGACACATATTTCCCTTAGGGACACATTCTAGAAGGGCAATTGTGTTACCCTGCTATTGCAACTAGGAAAACAACAGACTCTTGCAACACGTTAAAGACAAAGCAACTGATTGTATTCTGCTGCTTCTGGAGAGCGTAAACACAATCAGCATTTTCCATAGATTCACTTCCCATAGATGGGAAGATTGGTGGCACTATCTACCGAAAGTAAATACTTCACAAATCTGATGAACTGGGTTCAATTCATAATAGTTTATTCTGGAAGAAATCTGCGGCAAGAATTACTTTTTTCACCTCTCATCCTTTCTCCCTTTCAGGTGAACTGGGTTGCAAAAACCTCGGGGACAAGGGCCAAAACCTTTTACTTGAAAGTTTCATGTAGAGCAATAGCTATTTATTATGCCCCAGTTATTCAGCGATGTAGAAAGGTGCACTGCAGCAGATGTGCTTTTCAGCCGTTAGTGCGCGCACACACACACACACACACACACATATACACACCCCAGAGCAAAGACAGAAGCAACCTACAAAGTACTGCCGCGGAGAATGCCAATTCATCCTAAATAAATACGGCCTATTTGCTGTCTGGCTAGAAGGAATCTTTCGAAACGCATCTGGGATGCTTTCCCGTCTCCAGACTCCGCGGCAGCGGGCGGCAAATCCCTGCGCCCGATTTCAGCAAAACACCGGTTTTCCATCCCATTGCAGGGAGGCGGAGGGGCTGGGGGGGGGGGG